TTTCTTTCTTTCTTTCTTTCTTCCTCTCTTTCTTTCTTTCTTTCTTTCTTTCTTTCTTTCTTTCTTTCTTTCTTTCTTTCTTTCTTTCTTTCTTTCTTTCTTTCAGAACTACAGAACTTCTGGGTATGACAGTAGAAGGAAAAAATATGTCTAAGTGCTTCATAAAGCACCAAATAGTCTAGATCTAGGGAAAGAGCCGACTGACTATGTTACAAAAAATATAAAAATATCGAGAAAATATACTTACTTTTTCCTCAGAAAGGGCTTTGATGTATTTTTTCCCCACTTTCTTCTTCATTGTCCATGAAATAGTCCTCATTTTTTTACCTAGATTTGCTCCATTATTTGAAGTTTTCTTTTGTTCTTCACTTCCATTTGTTACTTCCCCTTCATGGACCTGGTGTAGAATGATTTACAAAAGATGAAATGATCATAAGGAAGGATCATTTGTTTGGGTTGAGTGTTTTTCAGTGCTAGGGATTTCAAATGCTAGGCATGCGCACCACATCAAAACCCTGTGTCCAACCCTAAGAGCACTCATTGATACTCTCCTTAGAGAAAATCCAAGTTTGGATTTTTTTTTGTGTGTGTGATCATTCTGTGCTCTACACATTCTGGGTATAACATGTATTGTTAAACATTTCTAGCTGGCTACCTGCATAAGAAACTTGTTCAAAAGTTCTCATCTTTGCATGTGAAATTCCTTGAGAAATTCAGCTATGGCTTAATAGCTTTATTAAACAATCATTTTAGTTATTGTTTTTGAGATGACAAAAATAGAAAGTGATTACAGTTATATGATGGGAGGTATTTTAATGGAGGGATTAGAAGATCCTTTATCACCCTTCCGTGATGGAAGAGCATTACAGTAGCCTCTTGTGTCTCAAAGGGATTGGCATGGTCATTGTGATTTTTAAAGAAGTTTGGAGGTTAGCTAAATCAGTTGAAATCTACAATGTTTTATCTGACTGGGTGTGTATGCATGCTCATTATTCACGTTAAGTAATAATAAATAGTATCTGTCTCAACACTAATAAATCTTCACATAATTCATAGATTGTGTATATATAACAATTAAGTCTTTTATTTGGTTTGCTGTTACCATATGCTCATTAATAATCTTCCCGATAAAGCAGTGATTTCTTCTCTGACTCAGAAAAAAAAAAAACATAAGTATTGGTGTTGGCCTACAAAGCTCAACAGCATAGCATAAATCCATGTGGTAAGATACAATTAATGATGGGAAACGTCTCTGTAGTGATCTTAAATACTTTAGTATGAAAGTTTAACCACATAATTAACATTATTGTTAATCAATATTGTTTATAAAATATGTGTTACATCATATAGAATCTGTGTAAAATAACATTTTATGAACTTACACTTATCTACTTATCAGATAACAAAACAGCATCTTCAACATTTGGGGACAGTTTGTTTTAACAAGTCATTTATGGTGATTCTGACTCACAGATGTACACCAGAACTTGAAAGACACGGCAACAAAATATTGCCATGGCTGTGCATCTGCTTCACTTTACAAGGTTCTCACTAAAGTTTGGACATGCTTTTGCCTTGACCATCTCTAAACTGCCACAGATTTCACAAGCTATCCAGGTTTCCAATTAACATAGAGTAACAGGAAAGAACTTATCTGATTTGTCATTCTCCATGCTTGTCCACACTTCCTGTTGTTTTACCTGGTTTATTCCTCTTCTCTGCCCTTATTTTATTTGACAATTTGATTGCTCTTTTAGTGGTTATCTGCATTTCCCATGTGATATGTGTTCCATGAGAATAAAGGCTTTCTCTGTATGCTTCATTCCAGTCTCAAGAGTACTTCAAGGCATGTTAACTGTTGCTCAGTATCCTCTAAATAAATGAAATTCCCGATGTGGAAATTTGAGGCAGTTTCCCCCATCCCCTGAAGGACATATTTGGATTAGATGTTCTTGGTACCTCACATGTTCAAGCAATGAACTATGAAGGTCATCTGCTTTAGTACTGCCCACCATGCTTGATAGGTGGATGGCCAGTCATTCCCAGAACATAAAAAATGATGGGAAACTTCTGATTAGTGAGCTTGAATATTTTAATATGAGAGTTTAACCACATAGTTAACATCATTATTAATCAATATTATATTTTGCTTCATATCTTACCCCAAATTGCCTATGATAAATACGAACGGACAGCCAATTTAAACCCTCATTGCACATTATTAATTTCTACATTCAAGGTTATAAAGGCAGAGTCTTTGCTTAATTCCAAATACCAGAATAAAATATAATTTGGAGGCACTCAAATTTTAATTAGCCTTTTTCTTTTCTCTTCTCTTTGCTTAAACTTTCTTGTTTTAATTGTAAAATTATTTTACTAACTGAAATAAACATAAAAGTATATTATGTAGTTAAAATCGATATTGTTACTATTATTTAGGCTTAAAATAATGAAATAAAGTTTTGGTTTTTGCCATCATAATTTACAGAGGCTGCAGAGAAAGTGTCTCCATATATGTTAAATTAGTTTTCTTTTCTGTGAAGTTCTCCATAGCCTGAACTAGATTTCCAGTTAGAACCCATACATCTGTTGATGTCATCATCATCTTAAGTGATATTGCTGCCAGGCTCCAGGCCTTATGAAGTGAGCATTATCATCCTTCCTTACAACACTACTCTGGGGTAGCTAACAGAAACCCTGTCATTGTGTTAGTATCTGTGGAAAGGAGGAAGAATTGATACTGGGTTTCTGAAAAACGGGAGACTACTTTATCAGCTCTGCCAAACGCTTTAGCAAATTACAAGGCCATTGCTACTTATTCCAATGACAGTGAATGAGCTTGAGATACTTTGATAGGCTTGTTAAAAACCATATAGCAGAATACAGCTCAGAATACACATGTACATACACACATACATAAATAAATGTCTATACATATATGTGTGTGAGCCCATATATAATTGTATTTAGTCACCCATAAATGTAGAGAGAGTAAAAAGGGATTGCAGTGGTTGGTGTTTACAATCAATTTGGCAAGATCTAGTGTCACTTAGGGAATAAAGCTCTGTGCATGCTTGTGGGGGATGGTCTTGATTATAGAGTTGAGATGAGATGAGCCACCCACTCTAGCCACTGTCCTTGGCTGGGCTTTATAAATGGAGAAAGGAAACTGAGCATTCATTCATTGCTCTCAGCTTCTTGGCTATGCATATGATATGACTTGCTGCTTTACGCTCCTACATCTTTGACTTCCCCACCATGATGGACTGTAATCCTTAACTGTGCTCTGAAACAAACCCATTCTCCCCGGAGTTGGTTTTTGGCAGGGTATTTTATCCCAAGAGCAGGAAAAGAAACTAAGACAGGGATGTGTGTGTGTGTGTGTGTGTGTGTGTGTGTGTGATGGCTTATGTATATATATTACATAAATCAACAGAATATATTATACATATAGGTATATGTTAATGGATATACTAAAAATAATATATGAAATTTTATTTTAATTTACTTTATTTAGAATATCCCTTTCTGAAATAAAAATAACATATTATATATAGATGCATCTGTATGTAAGATTTATAGAACCTCTTTATCTAAAAGCAACTATTAGTGAGTTCACTGAGTTAAGGTCAGGGTGAGGATTAGGTCTAAATATGTGCCGCATTCTTCATTTTCTCGATGAGACTCCTTCCCATTACTTAACTGGTTACGGGACCTTTCCTTAGTCCCTCATCCTGGGTGGCACCTAGTAAATAAGATTGTATGACAAGGTGACCGATGTTAAAGTCAGAGATGAAGTTGGGTTCTACCTTCATCATTTGTTAACTCTGTAGTAGAAATACATTGTGCTCAGGAAACTCAACTGCTGTGGGATGTTCTGTATGTCAAATGTGTTGCTCTGATTGGTTAATAAATAAAACACTGATTGGCCAGGAGCCAGGCAAGAGAAAGTATCGGCAAGACAGGGAGGAGAAGAATTCTGGGAAGTGAAAGGCTGGGTCAGAGAGACACTGCCAGCTACCGCCATGACAAGGAAGATGTAAGGTACTGGTAAGCCACACAAGCCATGTAGCAAAATATAGATTAATAGAAATTGGTTAATTTAAGATATAAGAACAGTTAACAAGAACCCTGAGCCATTAGGCCAAACAGTTTAAATAATATAAGCGTCTGTGTGTTTATTTTATAAGTGGGCTGTTGGATTGCTGGGGCTTGGCGGGACTTGGAGAGAAAACCCTCTAGCTACACTCAACAGTCAAATTGAAACACCAATAGTTCCCAAATAGATAAGTAAATTGGTAGCACTATATGTCCCTCATGACAAGCACTCAATTAACTATAGCTGTCATTGGCACTGCTATTATTATTATCTACCAAATTAATGTTATGGTGAGCTTTGTTTAGGACATATACAAAGTGTGCATAGTTTACAAATATGCATGTAATGCTAAGACATTTAATGCATGCACTAGAAGTGACAGAGTTTAGTGGAGTAGCCACATGCTCATCTTATCAGAATGACCATCAAGCACATTTAACAACAAGTTAGCATGCTGTCAACTCATGCATGTGTATTGCTTTAGCATGGAAATGCTCAGGAGACTTGGAATTGTCAATGTAACTTTGAATTATAATGATCTTTAAGTTGTAACTAACTTTAAATTCATGTTCTGCCCAAATATTGAGTAGGTTTTTTAGATAGCTCTTAATGCCCAACATGGTACTAGGCCTTAATTGCTCATTTATTTCAAAATTCTGTGTAAGTATACATGACTTGAAAAATGTATTTAATTTCCTTACCTAACATTATAAACTTTTATAATATGCTATCATAATGTTCATAAAGATAGAATAAAATACTAACCTCAGTTGAGTCATCAGATTTTGATGTGGAATTATTCCGAAAACGATCAAAATTCCCAAAACTGCTGCTGCGCTGTAAAATTGGAAAAGGAAAAGAAATGTTAAGGTTTGTGACTTTCACAACTGAAAGTAATAAATTTATTACAGCCTCTCAGAAATGCATTTTGAATATGTAGGCTATGAAAAGTTCTTCTCTGGGCTCTCAAAAGACATTGAAGGCATAAATATTATTCATATTTTTATACTAAAACTTATAAAATGTCTTCCTTTGATTTGTGTAATAGTGGTTAAGACCTTGGTTAATTTTTTAAAATTTATTTATGGTATTACTTAATCTCTTGACACAGCAACTGGAGCCTCTGAAGATTCTAAACCAAGCCACTTTAAAGAAGCTGAACACTAACTTATTTGCTCTAGGAAAGGACAGGCAGTATTTACTAACCAAGCTGGCAACCAATAAACATCCATCAACAATGAAACACACCAGGCGTCTGAGTTATCTTTCTTCTGCCTCCTGAGTTTGCTTAAAAACAAAATTAACGCAAATGCACTTCCCACTAGTAAGTTTTGTTAGCTTTACCTTCTCTGCTGGTAACCAGAAAGAGAGTACATAGACATAGACGTGGGCCTATTAATAAACTTAACACTTACGCATACACAGTGTGAGCTCGAGAGTAACACTGAATTTCTTCACATTTCACATGGAATTGCACTGAGATCCCAGTGCCCATCCCCCATTGTGCAGGGCAGCTTCCCTCACTGATTTCAAGGACAAGCTCAACATGTTATCAGCAGACTAAAATTTATATTCTCATGTAAATTCACTCTAGGTAGGTAATTATAAATAGCCTTAAGATGCTTCGAAGTAAATGGCCCTCCTGAATACATTCTCAAAATTCTTCAAAATCACTGATTCAAAAAATTGACTTTCTCACTATCAATTTGATTTTATGCATTGTTTAGGATGGCAGGTATCTAATCTTATGGTTTGTGTGCATGTGCATATGTGCGTGAGTACGTGCATGAGTGTGTGTGTGTGTGTGTGTGTGTGTGTGTGTGTGTGTGTACCTATAAATCCAAAGAAGATATCTTTTCATTATACCTCATTTCAAGGAAATCTGCTTTAGAAATGAATAGATTTTACTGAAAAGGTAACCTAGTAATTTGAAAAAAGGTCAATAGCAGTAGTGAGTAATCTACATAATTTCTACTTGTCTACTCAGAAATCAGAGTTCACTTTAACCAGAGAATCCAAGTTCTTAGACACATCTCTCACCACCAATTGCCTTTAAAACTCCTTATTTCCATTATAAACTGAGTTGAAATAAACAGATCCTGGACATGTAGCAAGTGGTAAGTCTGATAGACATTGTGCTCTAGAATATTGCTCCAAGAATGATCGCAGTAGCAAAGTGCCTTTTGCTGACTTACATGCCTCCTCTATTGAACAAGCCCACAGCTCTTCTTGCTTGTGGTGAGAGGAGAGCTGAGATAGCTGAAATTGTGTTCCACAGTGGAAAATACCAAGTCACCTCATACAGAGCTTACCAAACTAGAGATCTACCAGGAACGTGAATCACTTTGACTTGCCTAGTAGGTGTTTCCATCAGACCATCAATGATCTGAGATTAGAAGGAAGTGAGGGAACTATTGTCCCTGCTTACACATGAGTACATCAAGGACATCTATTACCCCATGGTATACTTGAGACATTCTTATGGCCTACTAGATCGTAGGCCTGTGGCAATTTAGTAGCCTCTATCCAGCCTGATGCTGCCTATTACATATTAATGAGAGTTACAAAAATGCCTCCCACTACTAGATAATGGGGCCTGCTGTATGGGAGGGCACAGAATAAATTCACTTCAGCATTTCTCTACACTATATTCTTCCATTAAGTAATCAATAGCTACCACCTTTTAAAATTAATTCTGCCCCCATTATACCAATAAAGAAAAGCAGGTATAGGAATAGTGGTTTTAGCTTAAAAAAAAAAAATCTTTGGGTTTTGTCAGTACTATCAGTACTAATCTCTCAACAACTTTGAAGTAGAGGAGTCTGTCTGTCAATCCTAAGGTTCTCTTAAGAAGCAAATTTCAGTATTTACTTAAAAGGGCACTTAACATATTTCATTATCCAGTCTGAAAGTTAGTTACTGTTCAAGAAGATGGTTTCAGAATATATTTATAGGTTATAGCTTATGTCAGAAAGGAGTTAATACCTATAGACATGGAGTGGATTTATAATTTCTGCTGTCAAGTTTTATAGTGAAAAGGTAAAATATGTGGAAGCAAAGTCTGCTTCCTACATAGTAGTCTTTTTTCATTAAGAAATTTTTTATTCATTTTACATTACAACCACAGAGACCCCTCTCTTCCCTCCTCCCGCTCCCCAGCCTCCCCCCAACCCGCCCCTATTCAATAGTAGTCTTTAATAAATGAGACTATGTTTGAATATTCACAAATTTGTATTATAATGTAATCGTTGTGCAGATACTAGTTAGTGGCAGAAGCTTCGATCAAGATAAAGCAATTACACGAAGAACTGTCTCTGGAAAAAGCAGCTTGAATTAAAAAAAAGCAAGTCACATGTTAGATAATATTTGATAAAGGTAGCATTAGATCATGTTTGCTTTTTAGATTGTGTGTAAGTATATTCAAGGGCTTGGAGTGTAGCCCAAAGTAGAACACATGCTTTACATGTTCAGTGTCTTAGGTTCAAACCCAGCTAGCTCAACCCCAGAAAAATTCAGTACATAGTCCTTCTTATCTGCTTAGAAAATCACTTATAAAAGGGCAAAACAGCTGTGGAGGGAAATTTGTCAACATCCTATAAATTTTCATATATATTTATATTTTGTCATGGCAAGTAAATTTCTAAATTTCTGCATATGAATGAATACATATATACATACACATCACATTCATTGTAATACTTTACTCCAAAACCCATAAACCCCAATATTCATCAAGAGGACACTAAATGAGTAGCATGTGTATGTATCAATGGAAAAATAGTGACATTCATCTGTGCCTAATTCAGTAGAACGAAAAGAACAAAACAAAGAAAGGTATCCAGAACAGGCTACCATGAATCTAAGTGCATGTCTCATGAAGGTAAACACAGGGTTTCTCTCACAGAGATATGTCAAAATGAATGAGTAAGGCTAACAGGCAAGAAAATGTATTTCTCTGAATATACTTTGCTTCTTTGATTTGAATACAAAACTGTGTAAAACCTCCTTATAGGAGGGAATGGGGGTGGGTTGGGAGGGAAGTCTGGAGGGGCGGGAGGAAGGAAGAGGGGGATCTTTGATTGGTATGTAAAATGAATAAAAAATTTTCTTAATAAAAAAAGACTAAAAAAACTGTGTAAAAGTTTCACAAATTCGTAAATCAAATTCAATCAAAATTAAAAAAAATCCCTAAAGTTTAAAATCCAAATGAAACAAATCTTTCTAACTCTAAATTGAGTTGATTGTTTGGGGGGGAACTTATTACAGGTTATTATAAAACAAAGCGAGATCAACAAACACTCTTCACCACTGAGCCATCACCTCTCCAGCCTCCTGAAATCTAAATCCACTTTAGCACAACTAATGTTCTTATATAAACATGGTTTGGGATTATCTGTTCCAAAGTCTATATATGGTCCCTTGATCACAGGTTTCCTTTTTCACATAGTCCCCTTGAGGGAGCAAATGTCAACTGGAGTGTTTGAACACAGACTTGGATATGCTTCTCGTACACAAAACAAGTAACAGTTGAGGAATCCATCCTTTGGTCTCCAGTCAACTCTAGTTTTGCATAACAACCTCAGTTCTTACAGATTGTCATTTCATATGCAAGTGGCAGCATCCTCAGCAATCACTGGTCCTTCTGGACAACAATATTGGTGTAAGGGTTACAACTTGAATAAAAAACAAGGCAATAAATTCACAAAACCTCCTTGAAAATTCTCCACACTGAGGTCCTCCTCTATGCCATGCTATTCCTCACAGACTTTTAGTCCAGTCTTTTTTTCTTCTTCTTCTTCAAATTAGCTGTTCTCTGAAAAGGATGGAAGGATGGAACTAAATAGACTTTTTAAACCACTTACCTGTTTGTATTAGGAACATGAACAAAAACTATGGAGTCTCCCTTAAAACTATGAATCAAGCTTCTGCCCCAAACCAGGAGATTTGACCTTCCGTTTCTTTCTTACCCAGATACCAGCTTTTAGGGTGGTCAGATAAAATCTCATCTATGCCATGACTTTCGAATTTGAGTAAGGCACCAGGAGAAGAAGTGTCAATCCATTTCAAAGGAAATATTTGCACATGTGAGTCAGACACCCACAGTATTTTGAAGTAGACTGGCGAATTAAAAATTATACATACTTACTGCCAACAAGTTCTTACATCTAAATATCACTCATAAGACATTTGTTAGTATCCATTCTTCAGATCAAAATCCTGTTTGAGCTCACCATAAATATTGTATTATAATAAGATAAATCTCTACAAGCCTGTCAGCCTTTATCCCAAAGCATTCGAGGATTTAATTGTTCTGGCTGACTCAGGTGTTAAGAGGCTGGAGAGCGAAAACCAAATTTAACTCACTTAAAATAATCTGTTAGGATTGCCTCAGTGTTAAATAATTACAGCATCATGTGGTACCAATGGAAGACAGTATCTGGGGTGTCAGGGAAATTCAAGATTAAAAAAAACCAACCAGAACTGAAAATTCATGCCTTCAACACTAACACTACAACCTTGTATAAAGGCAACACAGAGCTAAGTAAAATGATCAAAACAAAACAACACAAATCAGTGTTCTGGATATTTCCAGTGTGCGTCTGGCTTCTAGGAACCAAAGTTAGCTGGTTTCTTGTTGACCTCATTAGCTTCATCTCAACTGCAAAGTACATAAAGGGTGTGCAGATGTTGCCACTGAGTTCTAACGTTTGCTCAGAATTTCCATATTGAAACTTTAATTTTAGAATTTTATGTGCTGCTAAAATGTTTTTTTCTGTAAATTGAAGGTACTTCAGAGATTACCTAAGGGAGATGGGAAAAACTTCAATAATAACAGA